AGCCAGCCTTGCTGCCTGGGGAATTCTGGGAGTTGAAGTCCACACACATCTGAAAGTGGCCAAGGTTGAGAAACACAGGTCTAATGGATCTTGGTGTTGGGCAGTGAATGGAGCCTTCACACAGCTGTTACAATTTGGCTAGACTCACAGGATTACAGATGGTCTTTCAAATAGCGGTGGTGTCTGCAGGGTGCCATTAAAAAAGTCAAGATGGCAGCCATGATGGTGCAATCAAGATTTTTATGGGCAGACAGAAATGAGAACAGCTTCCATTGCACCATCATAGCCACCATCTTGACTTTTTTGACCACACCCTGTGAGTACCTCTGAGTGGTCTATTGGCATTTTCAAGGATAGTAATGACAAATGATGGCAGCAGCCGAAGAAGGGAACTCGTGTGCCAATCCTAACCGAAGACAGTACCAGTGGATGACTGGTGGGGTGGGCAATTTATGGTCCTCTGGATATTGATGATCTACAATTCTCAGCATGATTCACGTTGGTCTTGCTGCCCGCATCTAGATCTCAGCAATCCTGAAGGACACCTAAACCTGAGTCTTGAATATCCTACAGTACTTGCCTGGTATTAAATCAAATGTTGGCTTATCAAACATCACACTCTCTGGTCCGATTCTGGGCAGGGTTCTGTCCACTCCGCTCTCTTATTCTTTTTTTCAAATTAGAAATGGCAGTGATGGAAAAAAAACTCTGGGCAATCTTTTTGCTGGCCATGTAGAGAAAATCATGCTCATGAGTCCTTTGGTTCCTGGACCAACAGACCCATTTTCTGACACAGAGAAACTGCCTACTAACCCAAAAGGATCAAAAGGGGGTCCATCTTTTCAAAGTCTGTTAATGAACACCTAAAGAGTCAGCGAGAGTTGGTGTGTATGAATTCTTGGCTTCAGCTAGAAAGGCAACTTCTGATGCATAAACAAATGCATGAGAGGCAAAATGGGAGCATTTTATGGACTTGCAGCTGTGGGTCTAATAATTGGAACAATTAAAAAAAAAAACTCAACTTTTGTATATATATTATGGCCACCCATCTCACAACAGTGACTCTGGGCACAGTACAAAGATTAAAATGAACAGTTACAAACAATAGCCCATGGTTCTCAAGGTAGACAATGCATCTCAGTCATAAAACCACATCAGCAGCAGAGCCTGCCTAAACTTCTGCCTCCCAACAGAGGAAGCAGCCGGTGGTCAGAGCTTTACGACAGGTTGCTGCCATCCAGATTTCTGAGATGACGCTGTTCCACGAGACAGGTGCTGCCAAGGAGAAGGCATGATTCCTGGGTCCAACAAGATGACATTATTTAATAGAGGGGACCCAGCGCATGTCCTCTCTGCTAGATTTGATGGGGCGAGTAGAAACAATGATGGTCTTGAAAAAGCCATATAAGCACAAAGCAATTTTTAAATTGAGAAATAAAATTTAAAAAGTAACGGCAAGGGTTGAGCCAGGCCTCTCCTGGATGCAATGTGTGTGTGATGACCCCAAGCCGTGGCTCTTCTCAAAACGTTTGGACCAGTTTGATGAAATCCAGGAAATCAGTTGCTTTGCTTGTCTCCTCTGTTTAGGTTTGGATCCAGTATTACAAGGCTACCCAATTGAGACGTGGGGGCTGACTGGGAAGGGACTGCTCCGGTTATCCTATCGGGATTTGGAGAATCTGGGGGTGAGCTGCATTGGCCATCAGGAGCTCCTTCTGGAAGCTGTAGAGCAGCTTTGTGTTTTGGTGGGTACCTGGAGAAAAATCCCAGCCAATCCTTGGCTGATGGCCAATAGCTTTGGTAGAGAGAGGGTGGAGCATTGGTTTCCTTACAGAGTATCTGGGGCTGTTCCCCTCTCTCTAGAACTATGAGCTGACAACTTCCAACCTGAGAGCACTCACAGAGAAGCTGCAAGGGGTCATTCGGACGATTGAGGTCTGCATTCTGAGTCGCAGGAAAGTCAGCACCTATGATGGAGCTGCTACCGAAAAGTCCAGCTTAGATCTACTGGCTTCTGTGGTGGAGTTGATCAGCGCAGCCAAAGGCCTCTTTCTATGGCTCAACAGGTACTTATTTACTCAGATTGGGAGGATGTTGGGGAGAGTGCTCACATCCAAGGTTGCCCTCGTCTTGATAAAACATGGCAGGGCAGTGTGTGCCGCTCATAATTTCCTGTGGCCCTCAGTAAACAATCACATCCAACCTCTTGAAAGCACAGTCTAATTTAGTCTCTTGTTGAATGGATGGGAGAAAGGCATGTTACAGAAGGTCCAAAGTGGGATATCAGAGAAAGAGATAACAGATAACTCTGTCAAGTTTTAGCTATGGACCTGACCCCTGTTTTTATACCCCATCCGTTACTGACATGTGCCTTCTATAGATCCCCCTCAAGAAAAAAGCACTTGCTCCCTCCTGAGATAAATTATGGATTAGGAAAACTTTCCCAACTTGATGCTTCCTGAATGTGTTGGATTACAAGTACAAACATCCAATTGTACTTTAAAACGTCTGAAGAACACCTGATTGGAAAAGAGTAGTTTCATGTGAACCCAATCAAATTCAAGATCTAGATTTCTTTCCTCCTCCTCCTCCTCCTCCTCCTCCTCTTCCACCACCACCACCATCACCACCACCTGTCTGGGGGAAAAACGCTGATAAACTGTCAAAGTACTGTATTTTGAAGTTAGAATCTGGCCTTTAGTACAGTTTGCATAGTTTATCAATGGAAACCTAAAAGAAGGCTGGTTAATTGCTTTGTTTTTATATGTATCCTTATTCATGAGGGTGCATACTTTGAATTCGAGTGCCCTAGAAAAATAGTTGTTTTATGCTGACCTATGAAGTGAATCAGTGCATGTGTCCTGCTGGAAAAACATATGATCTAAAAGAACTTTTAGCCGTGTCCACTTCAAGAAGGCCTTCCCTCCATCTGCCCATCGTAATTTGCCTGTGCACCACAATCCTACTGGGAGGCTGACAAGTCTACTCTTGCAGGTATCTCTTCTCCCACCTACATGATTATTCAGCCAGCCGAGACATCATCTGGCTTTGTGGTGATCTGGCAGAGATTGTGCAGAAGGTAGGTCATCGGGTAACATTCTGGCCAGGGAATACTTTTTCAGCCCAGAGATGGCTTGTGCCCACCCTGCAAATTAACTGGTACAAAGGCATCTTTTTTTTAAAAAAAAATCTCTTTTAACTGATGTAAAATTGTTTAGTATTTATTTCTATTTTGTGCGGCTAATGGGGTAATTTGCTATTAAGTATTCTTATAGGTTAAAAGTATTTAAAGAGGAAAAATGATAGTGTTGCATGTCTTGGAAGCTGCTGGACAACATCTTTCCTCCATGTACTGTGTATTAAAATTCTCCAGTGATAAGCGGATGGAACCCAACTAAATGTTCTTTGGGGAAAGGAACAATGTAAAGTTTTCCCATAATTACTATGCATCTAGGTGATGTTATGTTGCTGAACTATGGCTCCCGGCAATCCTCATCGTTAAGAAAGCTGACTGGTGCTGTTGGGAGTTGTAATTGAGCAAGATCTGAATGCCACTGGCTTATTACCACTGGCTCTTAGACAAACCTGAGAAGATGGCCATGGAATCTATTTCGGGAGGTGATGAAAAACCATCCATGCCTGTGCTGGGGCTTATAAACCCCATGATTTAATGTTGGCTAGCTGAAAATGAGAGTACAGAATCTGAACTTGAATGAACTGGCAGAAATGGCAGCTGACCAGGAAGGGTGGGAGGAATAAGGCCAGGAGAAAGGGTAAACAAAGTTGGAAGGGGAGAACCAGCTTTTATAGAAGTCACCCTGTGACTCATGCTTTAGGACCAGAGTCAGGGCTGGGTGCTGGAGTTTTCAGTTGGATGTTCCTGCTGAAAGGGAATAAACATGCTGAAAGTTACAACCTGTTTAGGAGGAAGAACAACAATTAAAGGTAGGTTCTTCAGTAGCTATTCTAGAAAATGTTCCTTGGATGTTTCTCCCCCCACCCCTGCTTTCTCTCTCTCTCTCTCTCTCTCTCTCTCTCTCTCTCTCTCTGTGTGTGTGTGTGTTATTCTTGAATGGAATCTGTGGAATGAGCTGGGGAGATTTCATGATAGCCATGCTGGAAACTACATTCAGCCAAAGGAAGAAAGCATGAGAAAGAGAGAACAGGAGTGTGCATGGAAGAAAATATGAAGAATTGCCAAATACAGGGCATGTGGCTTAATGGAGGGGTGGCGGAGAGGTCCAAATTGTGGTAGAGAAAGGCCCATGGTGCATCTTTATGGAATGATACAAATTAGATTTTTTTTGGTCCAGTGCTATAAAACTTGCCCTTTTTGGTGTATTAGTGGGTGGAATGGTCTGGGCCTAAGTCCCTTATACACACATGCAAATGTTTTCAATTGTTGCATGACAAAGGCATAGAATAGCAATGAGCTGCTAAATGTCGTTCTCTACTCTTGGTCTGCAGTCTTGCTGCAGTTTGCAGTTCCAGAGGGCAGAGTAGATACATAGTTCAGTGATGATGCCTATTGGACCAGGAAGGTAGAGCCTGGGAGATCAAAGATGGTACCTGCAGGAGAAAAGGTCAGACCTTGGACCATCAATGACAGTGCCTGCTGGATGGGAAAGCAATGTTTTGGAACTCAATATTTACTTTAGAAAGAGAATCCAAGATGGTAAGATGTCAGTGCAAGATTACTACACGTCCTCTACTTCTTCCTTTTTATCTGAAACTCCTCTACTTTATTTTTTTAACATCTGTCCTTGGTAACTCACTACCATCCTCTGAGCAAATAGTTCCACAACATGGAATGGGAAGTATCTGGATTTCTTTCCTCGGCATTAAACCCCAAATTGACATCTTAATCTTGGATGTTAATCTTTAAACTGGAGATGGTGGAAACATTTTACTTATCCCATCCATATGTAAACTTCCACACACGTGTCTTTAAGAAAGTAGCTTTTGCTTTTCAACAGGTCAGTGTGAGCCATTGAATTTCATTCACTGTATAGTAAAGAGTAGCTAGCCAACACTGTAATCCAACTTACTTGAACAATGTCAAGTTGGAGAAGGCCGCAATTAAGGGCTTAGTGATACTGGGGGGCGTGGGGGTGTCAAACAGTGCGTCTTGCTGTGAGAAAAGAGGTATCACTAGGGCCAGTTTGAGGTTTCTTAGCAAAGTACCATCTATTGCCCCCTTTATATTCCTTGATCTTTTAGGTTTATCTGATACTGGTTTGGCAGCTGTATTCCAAAGATGGCTGGGACCTGTTTCAATTTCTCACCATCGTGGTGAACTTGGCATGATCTCATTGCAGGACAGTTAGGATGTTTCATTGTGGTTTGTAGACCCAACAACTTGGAGAAGGGAAGACGTTGGTGTAGATCAGTGTTTCTCAAACTTGGCAACTTTAAGACGTGTGGACTTCAACTCAGGGCTGGCTGGAGAATTCTGGGAGTTGAAGTCCACATGTCTTAAAGTTGCCAAGATTGAGAAACGCTGGTATAGATGGTAGTCCCAGGAGCTGCTTGAGAACACCGAGGCCTGGTGTCAGAAGCATGTCACAGCTGGAAATAGAAGGTTGCAACATGGCTTGTCTGCCTGTTTACTTCCAAGGGCTTAAACCATTGATTAGGAGTGTGGGGATGTATATCAAGATAAGATAGCCTGCCTAGGTTAGTCCTATCTATGCTAACAAGCAGCAGTTCACCAGGAAGCTCGTTCAGCCTCACCTGGAGATGCAGAGATTAAACTTGAGATCATATGTATACCGATCTCAAGCACAATTTCTGCATCGTCCTCATGAACTGTCTGCTCTGTCTTTAGGAAGAAATCTGTTTTCGACTAGATTTCATCCATTACTCTGTTTAGCCACTTTCTGCATCCTTGGCAGTGTCTGGATTAGTGAGATTTCTGGAGCTGATATCTGGCTGTCTAGAGGTTGCTATGGTTAGGAAACCTGATTTAGTCCAATATTGTTCCACTGACTGTCAGTGACTTGATGGGAGTCTTTTCTAGTTCTGCCTCTATGTGCTAAAGATCTTTTACGTGTAAAGCAAGTGCTCTACCACTGAGCTGGAAAAAAAGGTGAAATCTCACCTCATTGTATCCCAATACATATGGTAACTAACATACTCGCAGAACAAGCCACTGAGGCTCCAGCTTTCTTCCCAATGCTATTTTCTTTCAAAATTCTTCCTCCTATTCTTTTTCTCCTCATTCTCATCCTCCTCCAATTTCAGTTTCCTGCGGTGCTGAGTACAGAATTGTGAAACTGACTGGGAATAATGAAGTTGACTAGATTAAATCTTGTTAAGATTGTGAAATTGACCGGAAAACCAGCAAGGGGGTTAATGGGAGGAGCACTGTCCTCAAATCTTTGCTTTCCCCAAAAACCAGATGAACGGGCAAAAACGGATTTTTAAAAAATTGCTCAAATGCGTGATATTAGCTGATCATAAATCAAGCTTAAAAACACGTATGGTAGCAACTAAGGGCTGATGTTGTGGTACTGCTGGGTGCCAAAACTTTGTGGCCTTTTAGAAGACCCCACCACGATTGGGTGGTGTTTTTTTTTTTTTTGGCTTTTATTTAAGTAAAGAAAACAAAGGCAAAAAAATTAAGTGGAAAAGAGAGCAAAATGACAATAACCACAAGATTAAATAAGGGTTCTCATACAGATATATATGAATGAGTTGCTTACAGACATAGATTATGTATGGATGACCATAATGAAATATGGTCATCCTTTATTGAAACAGTTGTGTAAAACCTCATATACATATTTCCCACAGTTATGAGATGCATGTCTCCTGTTCATAGGCTGCTAAAGTGACTACCTTAAGATTAAACTCCATTCCTTGTTGACTCTGTTTAAAGCTTTGGGCAATGCCTGGGGTCTTGAAACTCTATGTGCCACTCTCAAGTGGAATTGGAATGAAAATAATTGGAATGCCATCTGAATTTCTGTGAGGTCATCATGTCTCTGGTCTTTGGTGAAGCTAGAAAGGTTGTCTAGTTTGAATTAACAATTCAAACTGGGATCATGTGAAGGGTTCTACTATAGCGCCTATCAATGTACCTTTCTTTGCATTTGTCCTCACAGGACTGCACTGTGTCTGAAAGAGAGGACCGGATTTTGCTGATTGTAAGTAATGAAAAGGTCTGGGTTCCCACCAGGGTGTTGAAACTACACATTTCCCAACCCTCCATGTCTTAATAGCCATATAATTGCCTTACATACAGAACCTAAGTGTACCTTCCTAACCCCTCTTCTTACACCTACAGATGCAGGTGTCTTCCTAACCCCTCTTCTTCCCCCAGTAGCACACAAAAGAAGAAAATTGTAGGATCAGAACCAAAGATAATCTAGTCCTCTAGCCTAGACCATTTGGCCAGACAGATGTCTATTGGAAATACTTCATTTCCATACAGGCGTCCCACGTGGGCATGGGCAAATCCTAACAGGTTAGGATCACAGCTATACCTCTTGACCTGATGGAGGTCATAAGAAGCTTTCCTAAGGTGTCCTAGTAACATCACCAGAAGGGATGGGTTTTAATTTTGGGGCCAATTTTAAGTGGGCTAAAACACACACAGTATTGGACTGCTGTGAGCCACAATGGATAGCAGGTCGACGATGTAACCAAAGCCCTCTAGCTAATGGCCATCACCATATCTTTAGTAGGAAGCATTGTTTATTGCTACATAGGAGAGATTTTCCTTTTGACTGTTTCCTAAGTGATCTGAAAAGATCTACAGAAGATCTATAAAAATAACCCAGTAGCTGTAGCTTTTATCTATAAAAATAGCTTTATCTATAAAACTAGCCCCCAGATGTAGTTGAGCACATTTCACAGGTCCATGGTTTATGTGTCAGAGTTCCTTGGATCTGGCTTGTTCTTAGAGTGGTCGTTCTTGAGGATACTACAGGGCAATTCAAACTGTGTTTTCTCATAGCCTTTGCCTTTTCGCTCTGCAGGGAAGACACATCTCTGGAATCTGTGAGCATATCTTGCGTCACAGCCCAGCTAACCTCCTGGATCAAACAGCCATCTTGGAGACAGTGGAACTTGAACCTGCAGGTCCAGAAGATAGTTTGGTGAGTCTGGGACTGTCTGTATACAGCTGTTCTGGACAAAAAGAGCTTGAAGGCAAAGCCCTCCAACTTGATATTGTACCTATACATTCTACTACAATTCTTGACTACAAATACCCTTTTCCTTGCTTGTGGGTAATCATTGGGGGTGTTATCCATGGTCAGTGGGCATGATCAAAACCATTAGTGAGCAGAGCCACACTCTTCTATTATTTTTCTGACACATCTTTTTCTCTCCTCCATGTAATTGGTTTCACACAAATCTTGTATGATAAAGTTTGCCTTGCAGATCTGGAAGGATCTGGAAAACACTGGCAATCTTGTAAGTTCCCACACCAAAGAGGGAGGTATGAGATGTCTTTGAGACAACCCAAGTTTTGAGGAAGTGCCTAAAATGTTTGAAGAGGGAAAACATAAAGGAGGAGAGAGAAGGAGCCAAAATGGCCCTCGGAAGACTGAGTGTGCTCAGGGGACATGGAATGCTGAAGGACCGTTGCCAGGGCAGATGAAAAATGGGGTGAAGGAGAGAAGTGTTTGGCCTGGAGGAGTTGGCCTCCAAAACCACTTCACATTGTAACATCTTGTTCCAGGTCTCATCATGTGATGGATACAATGGGAACCTACATAAATGCCTGTAGTCATTCTTCCAGGGTTTCGGAAAAGGGCATTTTTATCTTGCTGTGGTTGGAACAGGAATTTTGCCGTATAAAGCAATAGCTTTACTATTAAATTAAAAGGCTTATTTATATATATATATCCATATCAACCTTCTGCAACTTCCCCCAGATGTTGCTGGACTCCAACTTCTATCATTCTCAGCTTACACAGCTAATCTGTATGTGGACAGATACGTGATCCCCTTTTTAAGGATTCCTTGCTGAAAAGAACAATGGGTGATGTCACAGCTTGGGGTTGTCAATTCCTGGACAGTTTTATAATTATTTATTTTTCTAAAAAGTCTGTGTCAGCCTCAAAGCAAAGTTTCCCCTTTTTGTCTGCATATGAAATTGCTTTCTACTGGGTTGGACCATCTCGGCCAGCGCTGCCTCATCTGGCATTCTCCAGCCTGGTGTGCTTCAGATGCTTTGGACCTCCTATCATCCCCAGCCAGTTTGGTGATTGGCTGGGGATGAATGCAGTCAAATTATCTGAAGGCTGTTGTGTTAGGAAAGACCGATCTCCTTTGATGAGCCATTGCTATCCAGTGACTTGACAGAGATGCCAGGAACTGAACTTACAGGCGGAGCAGCTGTCTCTCGCCCAGCCAGACTTGGGCTGATAAACATGTCTCCTAAATCTTCTCTCTGCAGGGCCTAGAGATTAAGTCCTTGCCCTCCTGTCTCCATTTGATATCAGGGACTGCCCGAGAGGTGAGTGTGCGGTGGGAGTGGGTACGGTTCATAGCTCTGGCTTTTCCCACCCAATGCACGTTCCCAGGACTAGCAGGGCCACCATAACTTGGGTCTTTAAAATAGACCTTCCTCTGCAACAGGCTTGCAAGGATCAGGCAGGCAGGGATAGTTCATCTGTTTTTTTCCAACTCTTGCCTGTGAAAATCATGATTTCTTCCCCTCCATGGGGACTCTGCATCATACTTGGCTAATTACCATTTACCCCTTCCCCTCCCCTCCCCTCCCCTCCCCTCCTTGGCACAGCTGGTTCCTTCATTCCCTTGCATTCTTTATTGAGCTAGAATTAACCAAAAGGTCAAGCTTGAAGTTAATACTTAATCCCCTGTGCAGGAATCTCTCCTCCTCCACCCCAAGAGTTTGACTTTCCCCGTCCAAAAAGTTTCTTACTTGAATTATATAAACCATGAGAGTGTCCATACTGCCTTTTCAGATCCCTCCCAGCGAAGGCAGTCTTGGTGTCCTGTTTTTTTCTCTTCCAGGGTCCAGTTGAGCATTGCAGCAGGGTCTTCCCAGGAGATGAAATAGTCCAAGTCAATGACCAGGTGGTGGTAAGTCAGGGCTTCTTCTCTGCTGGGTTCCTGGGGCAGGATTAACTGTGATGCTGAGCTAGTGATAGGGGAGATCTCCAGCTGAATGGGGCAGACCTTAATTACCACATGCCTTAATTTTTCTGCTGCCTTAAGTTGCTTTGCTGTATGATAGGGAGATCCTTTATGGCCAAGAAAAGCATCTCTCCCTACTTCCAACAGAAAAAAGGATAGAAAAGTTGCCATGTACTAATATATGTATAGAAACATACAAATGAATATAATTAAAATAGGGTTGAGCTCCTTATTGTGAGAGAGACTTTGTTTGAACATTGCCCACCTGCTAAGTGGTGATGGGTGACTTCCAACTTTCCTGCCTTCTCTTCCTGTGACTGTGTATTTTTAAGATGGATTAAGACAGGACAACTCCTCAGATAAGAGAACAATCCTTTGTAAAATAGAAGACTTCACTGGCTGCAGCTCATGAAAGCTGATACTTTTTAATAAAATTCATTAGTCAGAAAAAATTCCGTGAGATTGCTTCTGATCTTTTGACTAACACGGCTCTCCTCCTACAATATCTGACCAGCATAGTCTCTGTGTTAGCTCACTTGCATGAACTTTTAAGTTAATAGAAAGTGCACTGCCCAAAAAAATAACTTCAGATTCTGCAATGTCTTGCCAAGGTCTAGGGCAGATAATTTTTTTCTACCTAGAATATTCATATTTTTAATTGGGGGAGGTCACTGATTGCAAAGGTGATTAATTTGCCAATAGTCCTTCTGGGTCTATCCAGTTATGATAATGTTGGGATGTTTGTGACTCTGTGGGTTTGTATCGCTACGTCTGTTACATGAGGAAGTCCAAAATACACTAAAGCAGGATTTCTCAACCTTAGCAACTTTAAAATGTGTAGACTTCAACGCCCAGAATTCCCCAGCCAGCAAGAATTCAGGGAGTTGAAGTCCACATATCTTAAGGTTGAGAAACCCTGCACTAAAGTCTTAACAAAAGGACATGTCACATGGGCCAAAATATGAGCACTACCTGATTAGAATATAGGACTGTGCAAATCCTTAAAAAGAGATGCTTTGGAACACAGAAGCTCATGCATGAAGCACCTCTCATTGACGCATGAAAGCAGCCATCTCTTCTTCTAGGTTTCCATGATTGCTGTGGGAAGCTGCTCTCAGCTGTCTCTGTACATGTGCACACATTTTACTTTACCCATATCAAACAGTATAGACAGTGATGTAAAAGAGATTTTAAAAATCCACCACAGAAATAATATTAAATACAGTAAATAGCATCACAATAAAACTAACCACAAAAGCAAAGTTCAGCTGTTCTTCAAAGGTTGCCCCAAAGGCCTTGGAAGCAAATTATATCTTTCTGACCTGAACGATATAAGGCTGTATGTATCAAGCAGGTTGTTGGGGCAGGTATTTCACAAATGGGGGTCACTAGCAACTCTTTCTTTGATGGCCACCCATCTGATTTGGAAGGAGAAAGTCACAACCATATTTATCTATGCAAAATGCTGCCTTTCTATGTTGCTTCACAATGCAGTGTGCTTAGCAGATGACATAAAGAGTCAAAATGTAACACCAATCAAGAGCACCGTTTTTATCATTAAAAGTAAAGCAAATAGTTGATTGTGCAGGTGGGATGGACCCGGATGAATCTTGTGAAAAAGCTTCTGGAATCATCAAGTCAAGTGACCCTGGTGCTGAAGAAAATCCCACTGGTTTCTTCAGAGTCTCCCAGTTCCCCAGGATCTCCTCCTCACCAGCGAGTAAGTTTGGCCCAGGTCAATTTCCCCAACCTGGTGCTTCATAGTGGAAAAAAACTTCAACTCCCACAATTCTCAGCCAGCGCCACTTTTTATGCATATGTTGCAATGTCCAGACAGTCAATGCTCCAATCATGGCATCGGTGCAGTGTCCAAGATTGATCCAAGATTCCACTTCATATGGAAGAGCATACATCTGTCTGCCCAAAGTGGTCTTTCATGCATGCGATCAATGACCACAGCTCTCTTCTCCACTTTCAATAGATGAGGGATGATCCTTTGAGCATCTCTTATCTTTAGAGCATCTCTTGTCTTTAGAGATAAGGGCAAACCCTATCATTTGGTAGATTGGGGTGGTTACCTTAGGGAGCGATCTAGTTGCTGTGGTGTAGTGTGGTAGTGGGGCATCCCTGGGAATCCCATACTGTCCAATTCCCAAACACAGGGACCCAAAATTAAGGACATCAGTTCTCACCCATGTGAGCCATGGAATAGGTTGGCATCTTTTAAATCACCCCCCTAAAACAATGGAGAACCCCCAGCATCATTATCTGGCCTCGTCCTCCTTGCTTAGATGCCTCCTTACCATTTCCCAACCATTGCAACCTTCCCTGGCCTATCTCCCCAAAGCAAGTGATGTCGCCCTAGGCCACCCCCAAAATAATAATAATAATAATTAACACCACCCTGGATTTGCATTAGAAAAGCAAGGCAGGCACCTTGGAAATTCCGTAGTCCTCTATTTCCAAATGTACCAGTGACTCATCTCCTACTTTTACGATTCCCCAGGAGTTTCATTTCTGACTCAGCGGGAAGCTGAAAGTGGAGATCCGTTTGCTGCAGGAAGTGTTGCTCCTCACCTGAGACAGATACTGAACTTAACTTGCTTTGTCTGCTCCCCAGGAGCCAGATGCTTTCTTGGAAGCCCTGAGCTCAAGAAGTGATGACTCTTCAACCAGCTCTGTGTCACCAACGTCCAGGTCAGGCATTCACTGCAGGATTTTTTTGTGGGCAAAATTGCTGTGGGGTGTGGATGGTCATGTGGGATGTGAACTACGGGAAACGCGAGGGTCTTGCTCTTGGTACATGGCCTGGTGGGGAGAATGCTAAGAGCAGACAGAGCATCCATGTGGTGGGGAGAAGGCCATTCTTAGAACCGGACCTCACTCAGATGGGATGTTCTCCGGGGGAAGACAGAAGGGTTTTCTGCTCTGAGTCTGAGATGTTTTCTCCTGGTTGCAAAATACATGTGAACATTTTTGTATGCTCGATCCAGTGATTTTTCATCTGTGCTGGCACCTTCCCAGTCATGATTTAGGAGATGAATGTAGAGTGGATGTATTCTCCCACCCTGCTTGCCTGCTGACGAAATTAACCCATTTTGTGGATTTCTAGAATACATTCGGCAGTAAAGTAACTGGATTTGCACAACGAGCTGAGGTACAGATCTCCTCCCCCCAGAATTAAAACTACTCTGCTGGTTATTTTATACAAATGGAGCCACCAGATTAGTGAATAACATAGTTAATTTTGTTGTGCAGACACAGAGAATACTAAGCTAGATGGGCTAACTCTGATTTCCCCTGTTATACAGCTTATTAGCTAGAATTCCTAGAGCCTGCAGCTTAGTGTAGTTTCTTTTTTTTCCATTCACAAAGCAGGTTGCCTACTGAGTATTTCCCAAAAATTAAGGTTTATGTTAAGCCAGTGTTGTCCAAACCTGGCCACTTTAAGATGAGTGGACTTCAACTCCCAGAATTCCCCAGCCAGCATGGCTGGCTG